CGGCCAAAATAACAGTCATTAATGGTCTCTTTTTCTCGCGCGCGTGACCGATATTCGCCGCGATAGAAAACTTTTTACAACGCGCTGTAAATACATCACGAAGAAATGAAATATATTTGACAATTAAGCTTGGTTTATTTGTTATGGAAAATATGATTGCGAGATTATCAGTGAATTCATAAAAATGATCTGATATTTAGTAGATTAACCAATTCCCCGATAAAAAAAACAATGTATCGACAAAGAAAATTATCTCATTGACCTATCATTGGTATCTTTGTTTAAGATACCAATTTCATATAATAAAGCTTCATTTTTTTAAGTAATACACACTCGACATGCAGTAATAATATAACGCTCTAGGATACACACTCGACATGCAGTAATAATATAACGCTCTAGGATACACACACACACACACACACACACACACACACACACACACACACACACACACATAATAAATGTGAGGTTAGCAAAAATATTTATAAGTGTAGTCTTTATCGATATCAGATCACCTATCCTTACTTTAAGATATACACCTTAGTCACTGATAAGTAACTCAAAAGTAAGTCAATAACGATAGAATTCTTGATAACAACTTTAACCAACAGGTGACACGAAGAATTTTATCTCGATTAACATACACTTTATCGATAAAAAATCTTCATTGAAATACTCAAATCCCGAGCATGTCGCTTACTAGATTACGCTTCTTATATAGAAGCTTGAAAACAGTTATTTTTTAAATTTCTCGATGGAAAATTTAATCATAGTCCCCTTTCTGCATTCAATTGATCGACTTGAAATATATTAAAGTAATTGAACACGTGATTACGTTGAATTTACATTTATAACTCCATCGGAAACAATTATAATAATTTTTTTATGTTCAGACCTTAATGTTCACAAAATAAAAAAAAAATGAAATATTATGCATCCTGTTAAAATTGAAGCTTTTTTAATGAGATTTTTGAATAGCCAATAAGTGAATTAAAAGAACAATCAAAAGAAATATTTTAATAGTCAACGTTTTAACAATAACGCTCTTAAAGTTGTTTTGTATAAATTATCTAATATTTAACGTAATTTAAGATAAATAAGATATCTGTAACGTATCATAAAATTTTTTGTTTTTGAATGCAGAAAGGGTATTAATCTAAATATGAAATATAAATTTTTCATTTAATAGATAAGTGACATTTGAGAAATCAAGAATGTTTCAAAAATATTATTGAATATCTTACTTAAATTCTCAAAAGTAATTTTGTGAGTTTTTTCACTGGAAATAAAGTTAAACAATTTTTTTATGCTGAAAAATTTAATAAATGTAACGCATTTTCTTTTTGCTTATCGATTCATTTTTATTGGATTTATTTTCTCGTAAAGTATTATTGCTTGGAATTACATAATCAAGATTATACAAAAATTTCCTACACATGTTTTAAACTTCGTGTTTGAAAGTGTCTGCGTAACTTAAGACTTCTGACCAATTCTAAGGCGGAGTAAAAAAAAGAATGTGGTGAATCATACTTAAGCTTATCACCAGAAGCCACCCAATCGTTTCGAGAGTGCAGGTGCATTCCTTTACTTCTTGATTTTTATACTGACAAAATGTCGTCGGTGTGTTACTACTCAGAAGGAGATAGATCCAGAAAGTGCGGTAATTTGAACTACCAAAAATTTCATAATGCGAAGAAAAAATCAACACGATGCAGGAACGATGCCATAATGCGAGCAGTTTCGCAAGAGAATACATCAACGCGCTTGAGAAAGAATGTTTATCAGTGATTATCTATAAATTCTAAATTAAAAAATAATAGTATTTTTTTCATCTGTCAGATTTTTCTAGTTGTAAGTTGTAACTATTTTTATTCTTTCACATTTTCCGCGAATTTTGAGCATTGCTATACTCAGGATAATAAAGAAATATAAATAGCTAAGATGACAGCGTGTTTCTCCTCAACCATTTCTGTATACAAACATGAATTTAATTTCAAAAATAGTCGTATTCTATCAAGAGAAAGAATGTCAAGAATATTGAAGCATGTCAAGATTATGAAGATTATCGATAAGTGATAATACTAAAAATGATTAAAATGACAACATCTTATAAAATCTTAGAAACCCTTATTTATTTTTTAATAAATTATATGATTGATATAACACAGATAGGTATAATGCATTCATATTTACATTTTATATGCTTTATGTATCTAAAAAATTGTGTCGCGTAATATTTCCCTGTCAAGCCTCATATGCATATGTATTATTGAGTAATTAAATTTAATTAATAAGAGAAAAATAACGAAAGAGCGATTACCTTCATTAATTGTACATTTAATCAGAGAAGAACTTGCAGCTGTCAATTAAGCGTATTATAACTAATCGGACAAAAAATCAATTACAAGCGCCGTGAGAAAATAATCACGCGATTAAATAAAAGTCCCGGATGGCCTTGATCGGTTACGCTCATTAATGCGCGGTCAATTTCTGGTTTGACAAGTCTAATTACCGTCAAGACGAAATACGTTGCACAAAAATGCGGCCCGCAAAATGTTTACACGCGTTTAAATTTCTGTGACAGAATTGCTAAAAGAACAAAATTAAGAGATCACGAACGACTTCTTTTTTTTCTTCATCGACTTCATCGATAAAAGTTATAAATTGAAATTTAAATGGGCTAAAGAAAAATACAAGCTTAATAATTTCGTTTCATACACAAATTAAATAAAGCAGGGTGACAGTAATTCCGTCCTTTACAGCGCAAAACACACTAATCCTAGCGGATTGGCCATATGGATTTGTGGAGTCTCGAATGGAGAACATACAGCTGTGTCTACAAATGGTGACCACGACCACGTGGTAATGTATACTAAGATATTTTCAGACTCGTAAAATTGGCGAAATAATGGAAAGACTGACTATTGTCTCAAATCGCTGCTTGACTCATAGAATCCTGAATGGGCATCGGTATTAATTGCATATGTTGTGCAATAAAGTCCCATATTTTGAAAAGATGGACGAAAGATGTGTACAATATGTTGACAGTATGCAATTCAGTTGAATGTGAAAAGAACGTCTAAAGCTTACATGGACGATATAATTATTTTGATTTGTAACCATTTAACAATTAAAAACAAAAATATTAAAAAATATAATATACGTATATTAATTGTTTGTATTCTTTTGATAAGAAACGTACATCCAAAGATACAATAAAAATTTGTTTTTTTTTTTATATTATGCCTTTTTATTATGGTTCTTCTTTTATTTACTGTTTATCTCTTACTTTTTGTTATAATCTTTGCCACTTATATTGATAAATTTTACATAAAATATAAAATACTTTTTTAAATAGTATCGGTGAATGATCATCGAATTTATTTATTCAGAAATGTAGTTAGCGAATATTTGCACCGATACTATTAATTTATTAGTATGCATAGCCTATTTTTACAATAAATTTCGATTTTACTGCAATTATTTCGTCATAAAAATAAAAATTACCGTTGCAAAAATTGCGTTCGCACGGAATTCATAAGTGTTTACGATTCGGCGGAACGGTGATGTGCTCAGTGAATATTATAGCGGGCAAGGTTGCTTCGCCACCGCCCCCGAGGAGAAGTGCCCCTAATATCCGCCCGTGCGCAATACGCCCGCGGGTGTTTCCCATGGTTTTGGCGTAGTGAAAGCATTCTTTGAAAAGGACAGGAGTTGCACCGGGTCTGCTTGCGTCCGGCAAACAGGAGAGTCGCCATGATTAGCGGAGGACACGACGAAAGGAAGCGCAAAGGGCGAGGATGGTCAAAAACGAGGGGGCGGTAAAAGAAATAAAAAAAAAATTCGGAGGTCGAATCTCCCGGAGATCAACGCTGGTAAACGGCCTCCGCCTCGAAACCTGGGGAAAGACTCCTGCGGTGGTCAGTGAGTCCCATAAACTCGCGATTCTTGGCCGCCCGCGGCATCTCCGTACGCATACATGCAAACGCACACTCGCACATTGGAGAGTGCTACCACTGGTGGGTGGGCAGAGCGGCTATAAGGCACGACGAAAGAGAGACGAATGTAGAGAGGAGAGAACTGTAGGGTCAGCGGAGACGGAAAACGAGCGAGGGGACAGGCGCAAGGAGAAAGAGAAAGAACAAGCTAGTGGTACAGAGAAACTGTGAGCTAAACTCTCAGCCTGCTGGCGCCGCTCTGTCGGCCCCCGCTGATTCCCGCCGCCAACAATGCGTGCATTTCTCCTCCTCTTCCTCCTCCTCCTCTTCCCCGTAGCCATCGGCACCACCGACGCCAACGCGCTGTGTCGTCTAACATCTCGGTGGTTACCAATACTAGTGGACAGCGACATCAGCATGATCAACGGCGCCAATATTAGATGCCAACGTCGCATTGAGAATCATTGAGTGATCAAGAATCAATAGGAGTCATTTAGAATCGTTAAAACCATTACGTATCTTAACATCGTTAGGAATCAAGCATAATAGACATCGTACTATCAGCCATTCACTACCCATCAAGTAAACTAGTAGGCAGACCAATACTCTTACTGTTATTGTCATAAACCGCGCCTAGCATCAAAGTGGAGTAACACATACCTATATCTACTACTATCACTCACACCAACGCCAACGCCAAACGCCAACGCCGTGCCGTTCTCTGTCACGGGATCTTTTCCGGCGTGATCTCCCACCCATCGCAATATTCTCGTATGCCACGTTTCGAGTCGACAAAGCTTACGGGTGAGAGGGAGAATGTATTCACGGCGACGTCAGTCGTTGCTGATAGTGGTGGTAATACAGGCGGTAGTAGTTCAGTAGTACTACTAGTATTGCTGGTGCTGATAGCGATTGTGTAGTGGTGGTGGTAATTTGTCGGAGTGGTGGTGGTAGCAGCGCAACGACGTTACTAGTGGCGGTGGTAGTGGTGGTGGAATGGAGCACGGACCAGTCGAGCCTCCCTCGCAGGCTCGCACACGTAAGAGCATGAAACGGAGTCGAGAGTACACGAGGCGAACCAGTTCGCTGTCGACTGCGTTCGGAACAGGACGTGTGTCGACTCACATTGAGTTTGTTGCTTAAACATAGACTCGCGAAACTTCTTTAAACATCGCATTCGTTCAAACGGAATTTTGGGATTACCAGGATCCAACCAGTTTTGTTTTATACGTGTCGAGATTTGTGGATCTATACTACGAGGGAAAAGGAAAAAGTGTATTTGTGCGTGAGGGTGCGTGAATCGAGGAAGGAACCGGTGAAGTGCCGGTGGTCTATAAGAAGAAAATGACCGATCACGTGGTGGAAAGTACGTTCGAGCTTTCAGCTTTCATGAAAGGTGAATTTAGTTTGTAGCGCGCGTTCACAGACTTAGATTGAGGGATGACACGAAAGAGATGACTGAAACGAATGTGATCACTTTAGATTGCTGAGTATTTCAACTTCAGTTTAATCTAACTTTCCCACATCTTTAACGTGCTGAAGTTAATATAGATCTAGTTGACATAACTAAACCATAAAGAATGGAAAATTTGATAACTTAAATATATAATTATTTATCTATGCGTAGCAAGTTTTAAAACCAAGCATTAGTCTACATCTGAAATACATTAACCTACTTCAGTCTGAGACAATTATAATTTTCTCATTTAGTTGTTCTAGATTTCATGCTTTAAAAGCCTTTGCTTTCATATATTCTCGTGTCATCGCTCGAAATACTTTAAGCGCTTTCAATTAGAAAATAAGGCTCCAAATTAAGAGAAGATCATAATTCCCGCACAATTTAAGTCAATCTATATTTCTAACCAGCGTGCTCCAGATTGGTATCGTCAATCGACCTTAAATCGGTACATGCTGATTTGACATCTCAATACGCGGTAAAAAAAATGCTAAAGTAGTATTCTGCCGAAAATAACATCAAAGAAAACCTCAAACGTACTTTAAATCATCATGTTGATTGTTCAAATGCGGGCCGATCGATACTCTCCCCTTGGTGAGGACCGACAATTATCGTTATGAATAACGCACAATGGAGAGATCGTGATTGGTAGATCACGGCGGGAACGAAAAGGGAATTGCTTTACGGGCGATGATCAGAATGGACTTTTATACCGGTACAAAGATTAGGCCAATAGATATTCGCTTGTAAATGAATAGATACGTGGAATGGAATGGAAGTGCACAAACGCGGGAAAATTGCTCTTATTAGCTACGCTCGTTGCACTCTAACGTTTGCATCCTATTTCTCTAGAAGCGAGGCAGAACAAATGCGACACTTGAATACTAAATACCTTTGATATTCATTCATTAGAGACATCTTCAACATCCTGGCTCAATTCGAAATTAAAACAGATCTAATATAATTTAATAACGATTTTAACAAAAAAAAACGTTACGAATTTAATCGAAGTCACATATGGTACACGTTTTCATAGTATGATCGTTAAATCGAAATAATTTACGTCAGACGATTAAGTCTGACGTAAATTACTACGATAATGATATGAAAGTGTTCACTTTTTATTATCGAAAGTGTCGACTTGAAGTTCACTGAAGTGTATACTTATTTACAACCAGGACTAGACTATTTACGTATAGATGTTGGTGATACCAGATGCCGATGATAGTCTGGACATTTTTACTAGGCTACGTAGCCAAAGGTATAGCGATCTCGATCGAGAGAGAGAATAGAAACGCGAGAGTGCAAGGCAGAAAGCTGCGGCGGCGACGGCGACTGTGGCTGCGACGGCGCCAGCGTGGGTCGCCACATATACGCACTGCCACAGAGATACGATCCCGGGTAACAGACGAGCCCCTTTGACCGAGGTTGAAATCGGTGCTGAGCATCTACGCGTAAACAACGATGCTTGGAACAGCGAAATCAGCGCGACGTACTGATTTAACTTAACGCCGGCGGAAGACCGATACCTGATGATTTGATAAAACGATATAAAACGTCACATAAAAGCGAAATTCAGGAGTTTATTAATGAAACTGTTAGAAATAATTATATACGCTATCGAATTTTGGTTAATGGGATGTCTATCTATGACGTTTGATATCAAACGTCATTATACATATAGTATCTTGGAAAACGATAAGAAGTCGGTGAAACACCAAACCTTCGGAAGATAACAGTTGGAAGTAAAAACAAAATCCTATCTAACCATGAAAAGTATATCTCTTTAATTGAATACCAGAGCGATAATTCGTGTAACAATATTTTTATGTAATAAAATTCCCTTGAAGGATTTATTTGATCGTAAAATTTCATTGTCTAATTTTTTTAATTTATTGATATTGTCGCGTTACATTATTATATCAAATTTATGTTACTTTATGATAAAGAATATATTATTTATCATTCCTGCAATATAATATATAAAAATATATACAAATTACACTAACAATATTATTCGGATTTTTTTAATATGAGGTTAAAAGCACGGTAAAGAATTAGTATTGTTTCATGTATTGTTTCTTGTTTTACTATTCATCGGACAGATTTCCGATAGAAGAAAGAATGTTCGATCATGTCCTACTTTCCACTTTTCTGAAGTCGAAAAAACATATCAAAAAATCGTGTCGATAAACTATTATACTATTGATCAATGCAATTAATCGCACATATGTTAACGTCAATGCTCGCCACTTAATTGTGATGCACTCGAATTCAATATTCATCAGCAGTGTTAAATATATCGCGATAATGTCACGCTTGTGTTTCGTGGGCTGTTATGTGAGTCGTAAAAAAATATAAATGAAAAACTACATTGGGCGCGTGCCGCTCAATGTTTTCTCACGCAAATCTGTTAGCATCATCAACGAGATGTAAAGTTAATTGAAATAACTGAAGTATTGTTAGCATAATACCTTCGTTGAATAATATGCGAATAATCGTTGAATAATACGCGACATTATTCAATGATAAAATTAGTAGTCAATATTTTCCAATGATTTCAGTACACCTGAATGATTAATACAATAATTAATAAGTGGTCGGTAGAAATGATAAATATATGCCGAGACATTTGCGGAATAAATACATCTAGTTAAACACTCTGGATGATATTTTATTATTCCGTTTAATTTATTTATATTTTGTTTACTTGAGTTTCATTCATTATTTACAACTTCTCTCTCGTTAATTCACATTATTTTATATTGATCTCTCATTTCCGATACTTTAATAATAATTATCAAAAATTTATTATATAGTAGTGGCTTATACTTGAAACATTACTGATCGTTTACAACCAACGTTTATTACAGGCAGTAGCTCCATAAATACCATATTTATTGATCTCCAAGTAATCATCAATCTTATCGTCGAGAAGTATCACGACTTCATTCCACTATCATAATCGGTCGACACGAAAGCGTGCAGAAAATGAACGTTTTAATTAGATCGTGTCTACCCTTCCCGCGATAATTATAATTGAGATAATACCTATTGCCTGTTGCTACTTAAGTTCTACGCGCTCATTTACATATCTCATCTTCTCTCTCGGTTGACTACTTTTACTCTCAAACCTGTCGTCGGCAGCAAGTATCTACGTTGCGCCTGATTTCGACTGCAGCGAGCCGCAACGAAGAAATGACTTCTGCAAGTTTCACGGAATCAAGAGACAGAGGGGAGAGAGAGAGAGAAAGAGAGAAAACGTTCCATCGTTCGTTTATCACTGCATGTATATTAAATTATTACGCGCAGGTACGCGCACTTTTATACGCTTCATTCTGATTTTCGCGATGTCATTTCGATAGATATGTCTTTCGCGTGGTTAAACCACGAATGACTTTGCCCGAAAGTAGATATGTTTATGCATTAATAGAAGAAGCACAGGAAATTACCAGTGCTATCGTTCGCATATATAATTTAAGGTCGACACCCCAGGCGGACGGCATGGAAATTTTAGCAATACAGGATGTTCGTCGCGAGACACTCAGCATTTCACTTTTAGATACCTGGAAAAGTTTCGATGTGATCTTTGCTTTTGACAAAAATTTAATTAAACGTTATTTTTTCGCTTCTTTACGTTGCTTAATTCTGCAGATATTTTAAGGGCTAACAATAAGCCTAAAAAAAATTCTATTTGTAAAACGTAACACGCTGTACTAATATTATATTATCACAGTTATTATAAATAGCATTGTGTCTATACATTGGTCAACACCGTTCCGACACTCTGTAGACGCTTAGGACGACGGCACAATACTCAATACAAATTTCGCTTGGGGTTTATTGAGCCGGCTTTGACTTCGCCTCGAGAGTGTAATCGATACCCTATTGAGTCCTGTCACAAATACAAAGGATGTCACGAGGCGAAGGAACTTCTCCCTCCCATCGTCACCCACTTATGCATTACGATCCCGCACCTGCTACTTGCGATGGCATTAACTTCGATAATGGTCATTCTTCGCGAAAAAAAGGAAAAGTTTTTTAACCTTTGTCCTTTTAGGAAAACAAGATGGTACCTATCTAAAGAGTCCTCAACCTTCGTACAAATTTATACAAGGTGCAATTATAAACACCTAAAAACTAATGTGTTAAGCAAAATTTAACTTAAAAATGGTAAAAAAAATTGGAAATTATTTTCCAAGAAATTTGTCTTAAAAAATGACGTAAATACGCGTAATAATTTCAAAATCACCCAACGTATATACTTATAATCGATGATGTACGATGAGAGTACATCGCGATGCATGCGACAGCAAGCCACTTGTTCTCGATTGTCGAGAGTACGGTTGACGTGATTAAAATAAGCGGTTCTCAGATATGGCAGTCCGTATTAGAAATAATCGCTAACGCGCTAAAATTCGTTAACGCGAATTCTTTACTGTAGATAAAAAAAAAGATAACATAATATGTTACGGAAGACGCTATAATCGAAAGAATCGTTTTTGAAATATTTTCGCACATGCAGAGCTTATACGAATCATACATTGACATGAAGTTTACGTAATATCATGGCACGTGCGTGCATCCGTCAGTAAATTATAATTCGCGATTTTATGTTGATTTAAGCGCACATGAGTAAATACGAGAGATTCGTGCGGGTTCGCGACACGTGCAGGGTCGTTTACACGTGTTTATTACGCGGATTGATATGCGCCGTAGCACACATGTAAAACGAGAAAGACAAACATTCAATAGTTAAATTCATCAAAAATTTTTTACTTTCCAAAATGCCGAAAATAAATGTATTTTAATGACGGACACACAACAAATTTCGAAGAAAAATAACGACGATTTCAAGATGATGTATAATTTTGAGTATTTGCGAATGAAGTATTTGCGATTAAACTTAAATTAAATTTCGTCTTTGTGAGAGCTAAACG